CACACAGAGAGAGAGAGAGAGAGAGAGAGTGAGAGAGAGAGAGAGAGAACACATGCACAACACATCCATACACGCACGCGCACACGCATCCGCGCACACGCATCCGCGCACACAAACACACACACACACACACATCCCATACAACACATTCATACATACACACACAACACACACACATTCACACACACGCACGCACACACGCACAATATCTTTTATTATTCGTTCAAATAATTATTTACTTTACATTATTTTTTGTTCGTTGGTCAGATACACCTAAATTAATATTTTTAATTGATAATGTAACTTTAATGGCAAATGAATAGGAATAAGATTGTAGGATGTACGCTTTCTATTTTGGTAACCTCACATTTGAGTTGGTTACCTACGGGACAGGCTATGCCTAGTGTAGGAGCCAATGTAACACGTGCCGGAATAATTTTTGATCAATGAAATAAGTTCTTATAATTAAATGTTTATGATCTTCTCAACTATAAACCACATTTTAATTACTGATTCTACACGTCTATCATAGGAATGAAATTAAAAATGTTAATTTTATAATGTAATATATAATGTTATTAGTTAAATGTAAAACTAATTTCATAATTTGTGTACATGTATAATATAAAGCATGTACAAAATTAATAAGAATTTTTGTATAAGTTTTCAATTATTACCATGCCTTACTGGGCCCATTATATAACTAAACTATTGCAACATGTATGCCTACTTGTGGAAACAATAAATTATTATTATTGTTTTTTTTTTCAGTTTTTACGGCTTTTTTGCCGTAGCACCATCTTTGAAGAATCTATAACAGCTCTTCTTCACTCAACCAGTTAGGTACCTTTACAGTTACCAGAGGTTGACGAGATGTCGTTGTAAATTGTACTTAATATTGATTGCATATTATGCTATTTTACCACCATGATATTTTTATCTTTGTGAAATTACTTTACTCATTGGGTATAATTATTAATACAAACACAAAATTTCTTCGTACTGACAAGATTCGAACCTGTGATGGTTTTTCTCAATCTAGAGCAACCGCTCTACCAACTGAGCTACAGATTGAGCCAGTCTAGTCTATATATTAAATTACCGTCATAAATTAAGTTGGGCAATAGAACATATTTGAAATTTTGAATCGTTGTAAAAGCTGTTCATTAAATTTGCTTAATTAGGCGTGAGCTTGAAAATTGTAGGTAAATTAAGGTGGATTCAGCTAAATATTCAATTTCCAATGTCATTTATGTAACATTCAAGGCACATTAATTACTATAGAACTGATATCAAAGCCTAAATTTCCCGTTGTACGGGCGGCTGCATCATCACAATTGGTGGGTACACAAGCAAAGATAATCCGGCACACTGGCCCGTCGCCAACCGGCCATACTGCGGACTTTTCAATGAACCCATTCGGATGGAATATCTCTTCCAATGTTTCCATAAAAGAAATCAAGCAATAGAACAATTTAACTGAATTTTTCGGCATACCTTTTTTGTGAGCTTTTGGCGCGCACTCGGCTTGGACACTGAATTACCTATCTCGTACCCGCGTTGCGAGTAGGATTCCCAATAACATTCTGTCAGTAACATTTTTATTTTAATAACAAAATTGAATACAGAAAAATATGGACAATTGACTTTAAAAAAAACTAATATTTGAAATAGAAGAGTACCGTGAGACTCTGACATATTTTGATATAACGATGGCATACACTATAATGCTTAATATTGTGGTGAAAGGATTTTCCTATCGAATAAAGGCACCATATTAACTTTAAGATTTTATTAGCACTAAAGCTCCATGCGAAACAATTCGTCCAAGGAAGTACTACCACCTCAGCTATTTCTGCCGCCAAGCGGTAATGTAAACATTACTGCGTTCCGGTTTTGAAGGGTGCTGATGAAATTACAGGTACATGTGACGTATCAACTTTATGTTATAGCGCGACGGGTACAGTGGTAGTGGCCCTTAGATCTGCGATTTAAAGCTCTGTGTGGCACTGCAAGTGCTATGGACAGGCGTTTCGCTTACCACCAGGCGCGATTTCATTCTGCCGCTTGGTGTCACAAAACAAAAAAAACTAAAATAACGGATATCTCGCATACGCCGCCAAGCAGTAGTGTTAGCATTACTGTGTTCCGGTTTTGAAGGCTAAGGATGCTGGTGAAATTATAGGCACATGAGACATGTCAAGTTATGTCTCAGAGCGACGGGTACAGTGGCAGTGCCCTTCAGATTTTTTGCTATAATATTTAAAGCTCTGAGGACACTGCTATTGTTATGAACAGGCGTGTAGCTTATCATCACGTGCACGACTTGTTCGTCCCGTCGCTTAATATTATATTTAAAAAAAATTAAGTCGAATATTTTCTCGACATGGTTCAAACCAATACGTGGTCAGAAGCACAATCTTTATAAAGCGAATGCGTGCTTTCAAAGCATAATAAACACTTCATTTATCTAATTTATTAGTAGAATCACAGGTTGTATAAATCGTTGCCTTAGTTAAACAGGGTATTATTTCAAAAATTGTGACATTTTACTTTACAATGCAGTCCTATTAAAATCGAGATCTTTCTGGAACAAGGTCTTATAACGATCGAACGTGAAATAGCACGGGAGGCAGGGTAGTATCTCTAAACTTTTGGCACGTTTTGGCTCCAAACATAGAGCGACACAGTCGTATTCAGTAATACACATGAAGCTGTAGTCATCAAGACGTCGTCGTTTGTTGAACAGGATATTAAAACAACACAGCATAGATTCATTATAAAGTCAGTGTATTTTAAAAATATTAATTACTAAAAACGTGTTTAGACTAAATATTTTTAATACCTTTCTTGGGATATATTTTTTTTTTTCGTTGAAATGCTTATGATAATCTAAAGTATAATTTTCTGAGATACTACTCTGTTCCTCAAAGTTTTATCGATTTGAATATTATTCCTCATTTCACTTAAAAGTATTAAGCTTGAAAAGTTTAGTTAAAACTCTGAATCACAAATATTGTATGTTAAAAAAGGGTTATAATGTATAATAATAACCTCTCTGAACAATTTCAGGACTTTGTGAAAACTATGGAACTGAAGAAGAATAAGAAGTATTCGAAAATACTGTTAAATGTGTTTATGTGTGTAGGCTTTAAATACATATAGGTGAGGAGAATCAAATAACAATAGCGGCCGAAAAAATTCTAGAAGAAACTTTAAAATCGCTCTCCTAAAAAATCTGTGTTTTTGAGATAATACCCCGTTCATCTGGACCAACGAAATGCAGACAGTAAAATTATAGTTTCCCTATTAGAGATGCAATCATGTTAGGGAGGAAAATAAAGGAAAAGACCGGTGTCGTGTAATATAACGAGCTCAAGGAGCTGGCTTATAGGAAAGAAGATGCTTCACCGACAAGGGTATAATTCTTTAGTTTGATAATGATGATTAACATGCACCAAAAGTCATAGTCAGTACACTAGAACCAGGTAGGCTTTTTAAATATTTTAATTAAATATTAATATTTATACTATAAATACAACATGTACGTACGTCCATGTATTCTTTATAATCAGAATTATGAATTAAAAAAGTCCCTACTTAATTCACTTTAAGATACAATAAAAGCTTAAATACTAGAAAGTAAAACTAGAATTTTTTAATTATATTAATAAAATTGGGTCCCCGCAAGGCGTTCCCCCTTTGTATGGCTATGCTAATGCTTTGGGCAAGGTAGCTGTCGGCCCTTGGGTTTGCCAGACAGTCTATTAATATATGTAATAAATGTATTCTACTCTATTCTATTCTATTCTAATATTTGGATAAAATTTTGTACAGATGAACGGTACCGGGACCCCACGAGCCAAGGGTTTCGACTCCAAAGGCTGTAAATAGGTAGTCGGAGCCTAGATCCTGGTACTTATTTTTTTTTCCTTTATTCTACACGTCCATATTTATAATATAAATATTAATATACCAAGGGTGTACACCATTGGTGTAACAAAGCCACATCTGCAAAATGAAAACTTTTCCAGAGAAAAATTCTATGAAGAAAATTTTTTATGCTTATATGGGAGAGTTAGAAAATTTCACATAATATACATAAATTATCTTAAGTAGGTTGTATTGTTTTTATAACTTTCTTGTGATAAAAGCAGTTCTGATACGTGATCATGTGGCTTCATTATACCAAGTAAGTGTAAATAATATAAAAAATATGTTTTTTTTACTTTAAATATTTGAAATATCCAATCTGATACACAACATAATGAAATAATTACAACATTTTTATAAAAGGTGTACCCAAAATTTTGTGTAAGTTTGCCAAGTTTTAATGAAATCTGGAAAGTGGGCGTGAAATCCAATACCGCCACTACATAAAACGCGGCTATATATTTTTTTTGTGGTATCATAAAAAAACCTGGGTTATGGGTTTTTTTGTTTTAAAATATTGAAATTGTTTAATGATATTTTAGCTACGCGTCATTAGGGTAAGTTTCGATATGTCGGATCTAACGTAACTGATATTAAATAGAGAATTTTGAACTCTGTCCTATGCTACTTAAAACCGTAATTTTACTACTTGTCACTTAGTTTTAGTTAGTGGACGGCAAATATACCAGATTCACCCCCAAATCCGTCTCTTCGAGATGGACTATTTTCTTCAAATTCAAATGGAACCACTGAGGTACATACACACTTTCTTACAAAACAAAATAATCGAAATCCGTTTACAAATGTCGGAGTATTTGCATAACATACACCCAATAAAATATAAGTGAATTAAGAACCTCCTCCTTTTTAAAGTCGGTTAAATATGTTGTAATATAATACCAAGATAATATTTACTTGTTATTTGTTGTGTACTTCATGTAACTGAAAACAGTTATACCAATTGTTACAATTTAAATAAGAATTCAAATTGAAACATTAAATTACAGACTACATTTCTAAAGGTCACTTATGTACCATTTACTGCATAAACCATATAATGATCTCACCTCCTCTAACTTCGCACACGAGTACCAAAGCAGCTCCTTCCTCCAATGGTCCAATAACCCCAGAGACGTCAGCGCCGGACTTATCATACAACAGCATCTGATGAGGTGGCACTGGAACAAAACGCCAGTTAATAGCTTCGTCTGCCACTGACAGGTAATCTACTGGTCACAATGGCTGTATAATATTCATTTTGAGATCTATTTCAAAGTAAATTTCTTTTGTTGTTTTTGTAGTTTGTTCGCAACACCGCCTTCGGTACGCGAGGGGCGGGCAGGTTGAGGCAGTGACAGTATATGTATAATATAGTAGAAACGGGGAAAACTGTTTTGCTAGGTCAAATTGTTTTTACTATTAAACGGTGTTAAAAAAAACGATACGCTTATGGATATTGTCTAAAGAATGACCTAAATTAACAAGTCCGATCTTGCATGAAGTACTACAGTCACCTGTGGGATGGCTCAGCGAAGTATCAACTTGAGACTTATTGGCGACGATAAGGTTGAATCTAAACTTCATAGCTTAGGCCACCGGCGCAAAGCTGTCCGTCTGTCGGTTTTTTACAGAATATATTTCGGCGAGTGTGCCCAAGAGCTCCATCAGCTCATCCCTCCCGCCCCCTTTTACCATCGCACATCCAAACGTACGGCGTACTGTGGGGAACCGCCTAAGAGAGCCATACCATAAATGGTTTTCCCAAAAGCCTGCGAAGCTACATGCATAGAGCAGCCAAATATGCGGAATGAAAAAATGTTTAAAATAATTTAAAATTTGTGTTTTGTTCAATATGAAATTATAGTGGCATAGCAATAGTAATAATACAAGTGTTATACCATTTTGGAAAGCTGAAAATATGTGCTTTTTTCTGAAGCACATGTATATAATCTGCTTTCGTAAATATACCCATCAGCTATGCACATCGTCATATGCTAATTTTGCTTATCTTTAATATTCAATTAGAGTTTTGACTGTGCCGAAATTTGCCGGTGCTCTATAAATAGTGTTGTTTCATAGGCAAAGTAACAAATTTATAGTAAAATAAAAAAAGTCTTGCGGTTTCCTTGCGTAACATATGTTAATCTATTAAAACATGAAATTAGGAAATTACTACGCTAACAAAGTCATATTTGTTAGTTGATATGGCTTTTATATTATATTTTATACAATGTGGTTATTATTTAGGTAACATATGTAGGATTTCTCACCGTATTTTTGTTCACATATACAATTTATTATGATATAATTATCTAAAACCGCGCATAGTGGTAGACAGTTTTTATCAAACCGTTTCACACGCACGCTTCACATCAATATTATGTATAAATAGCACGTTTGCATAACAAAAATTACACTTTTTCATTTGTTATTGTTGTTACTGAAAGTGTATTACCTAATCATCTTTCTGCAGTGAATGAATTTTTCTGCACCAGACGCGATGTATGTCTCGTGTTAATTGAAAGTTATATGAATTATGTTGTCTCTATGTTGAGTGTGTGCGTTATTTATTATTTATTAATTTATCTATTACAAATTATATACGCGATAATCGGTATTCGGAGTCAAATATTGCAAAAATTGTCGCAAATATTTTAAAAAAATCGAATTTCTCAATTTCGTCAACGGTTCACCAAATCTGGTAGAAAAAAAGACGAATTCTTAAGTCAAAATAGAATGTGGTTGGATGGCATATACACCGTACATCTGTGCAGAATCTATACACGTCGTTTTTCCACACATCTTTATCTAACACACAGATTTCAATTTTGTAATATGACCTTTGTAATTGTTTTTGATTTCTTTTTCATTCTTAAAAATGTTAAGTTTAAAAAAGGTTAAAGAAGTTACGTTGTTAAAAATATGTTAACACCTACAAAATGAATAGGTATTAATTAAAAGCACATGTATTCAAGAATATCAAAAAAAAATCACGTAATTATCTTTCAAAACTTGGCAGTTACAGATTTGTGACACGAAAATGGCTGAATCTCCCCATAGTGCGGCGGGATATCATCCTTACTTGGTCAATAGTCCCTTCAGGCGTACTAAGCGCTTTTTATCATCTTTTATTATGCGCATAGCACAGGAATGGAACTCCCTGCCTGCGACTGTGTTTCCGAACTCACACAATCCGGATATCTTTAAGATGCGACTGAATAGGCATTCAGTCCATCGTAGATCCTATCTTTGCTCCAGAGCTAGGTAGTGGTGAAGAACAAGTCCATATTAATTTTAAGAAAAAATTGTTACACGATAGGACTTATTTTAGTCGACCATATAAAGTCCTAAAAATAGGCTAAAATAAAAGTCTAATACGTATTAAATAATTAAAACAAAATATCTAACTTTGCACATAATTTTTATACGGAGATTTCTCTTTAAGTACTACAGAGAACCTGCAAAATTTTAGTTTTCAACTGAAGTCCTATACTTTGATTTTAAACTTTCACGATTTTTACATATTATTTAATTTTTGATTCGGGACTTAATGATGTGTGTGATGATAAGATGCTGACACCCGTCTCTTCAGTCTCTTCGAGACCATGGACGTTGCAATATGTCCGAAACGTCGAGGTAAATAAAATATGTTTTATACGTAATTAAGTCCCGAATTAAAAATCAAATGAAGTCCTATAGTTATTAAATTCACATTTATTTATGCCAAAATTTTAAAATTCCCTAGCGGTTTAACGACACCGTGCCGCCCGCTGCTAAGTCAGTTGCCATCGGGCGGTTTTTGACGACGATCTGTGTCAAGTTTTCTCCGCCAGTCCGTATTTTATTCATATTAATTTTCAGCGCGCGAGTTGCGGGACGCGAGGGCCGGTCCCCTCTCCTCCTAAAATGTAAGTTCGCGTTGAAATACGGCGCCTTAGCTTGTTTCTAAGAATTATAATATAACATAATAAATAATTTAAAAGAGATGAAAGTGGTTTGTAAATTCCGTAATTGTAACTTTTTTTATAAAAATACGACCTCAAAAGTACCTAGAATTACATCTATTTGCCAAGTTTTATACAAATCGATTACCGGAAAATGCGTAAAACCGGATGTATCCCCTAGTTTGCCACCCTTAGAGGTGGAATATTTTCTTCAAATATTATAATATTAAATGGAACCAATATTGAGGTACCCACTTTCCAACAAAAATTGAATCATCAAATCGGTACACAAAAAGTTATCACGTAACATACATACAAAAAAAATATCGTCGGATTGAGAACCTCCTCCATTTTTTTCAAGTCGGTTAAAAAGTATCGTTGACAAAAAACGAGAAATATAATAGGCATACATCAAAATATTGACAGAAGGACTAGCTGATCTCGCGATTTCACCTTCGCCTTCCGACGTCTGTAATGTATAATATTATTACCCTGCTGTGGGATCAAATGGGGTAATCAAAATATTTTTATATGATAACACATAAAAAGTCGTAAAGGAAGTAAAAAAGTTTCCATAAAAGTATTATTTATTCATTACTGCTGTTATTTTTTTTTTGTTTTTATGTTACAATGGAGGCTAATAATCAAGCAAGTCACTTTATGGGAGATGGTCATTATTGTCCGAAGAACCCCGTGTCATAGCGCAAAGGAAATGCTTCTGGAGGGGCCCATTTCATGTCCAGCTAGCGTGATCTTAATATTCTAAGCATCAATATGTCATCATCTCTTACTTTTCGTACTAGTGGCGTTCCTTGTGAAAGAATTCGTCCTGGGAAGTACTGTCACCTTACTTATTTCTGCCGCCTAGCAGTAATGTGAGCATTAGGCTTCGTTCGCACGGCATTGCACTCCACGTTTTTTTAATCTTATCGATAAAACAGTGGCGTACGCATTGTATATTGCACCATTCTCACGGTGTTTGTACTGCAAAAAAACGCACATCGTTTATACGTTTATGGAATACTCACCGGACATGTCAAGTAAACAGAATAAACTATAGCATATTCGGATTGCAGTAGCGCATAGTTGCCATCTGTTTCCAACGGCTTGATGTCATATGTTTTTTATCGAATAGCAACCGAATCGAATCGTATTTATTTTTGTTAAACTCTAATTCTCCAGACCACCAAACGTATTAACAATTTGGTAAAACTATTTATAGGCATCCGAAAGTAATTGAAAAACGTTTTTTTATCATTCCGCAGACTTTCGTATAAGTTTTCAAAAATGTTTCTACCTACGCACTGCTTCTTGATTTATAGGATGAACAATACTGTGTACTGTAGCTACTATAATTGTTTAACGTATTTAATTTCGTTATTTAGATATAATAAAAATCGGTTCTCACCACTCAAAGTATATTGAGAGAGAAACATGCCTTGAATTGGAGAGTAGCAAAATCAACCTTTAAAATAATTGCTCCTTATAATAAAATTTAGGCGCTTTTATAAAAATGAATCTTCATGCGTGAACAGCCGCCCTTAGTAGTGGATGATTTTCTTCTAAATTAAATGGGACCACTATGGAGGTACCCTCTTTCCAACAAAAAAAGAATCATGAAAATCGGTTCACAAATACCGGAGTTATCGCGTATCATACATACAAAAAAAACATAGTCGAATTGAGAACCTCCTTTTTTTTAAGTCGATTAAAAAGTACAACAAAAACGAGGATCCATCATAGACGTGTACTCAAAGTGATTGCTGTATGAATACCCGCAGCTTATCCGTTCCAAATCTAATACTGCAAAAAACGTGAAGTACAATGCCATGAGTACTAATGAAACTACAGGCACATGGGACTCGTTAACTTATGTTTCAGGGTGAAAACTCCTCGGGGCTTTTCGAAGTGGCGAAAACTCCTTCCGAGAGCTCCCCTTTATACAAAAATAATATACACAGAGATCCAACGACTCGTTGCAGACTAGGACGCTCCAAATCCTCTGTGAATTTGGAATCGTCGATAACACGAACCATCTGATGTTGGATAGAGTCAAGCGGATCAAGTACGGTGCGGAGCAAGAGATCTCCGGCACAGAGATGTGATTAATACTCCTTACATTGTCTACTAACTGGGCTTACTATAAAAAAAATTGGTGAATCGGTGTGCAATAACGTTTTGCACTGAGGAGTTTTTTACAACCAATTTGGCTTTGTTTTCCAAATGGAACCGGA